CAGCCAGTCCTTATTGGCTTCAGGTGTCCCAATCAACCTAGCTATCCCCACTGCTTTCTAGAAGGATCTTAATTGGCCCCAGGTGTCTTGATTAACCTGGCGCAACCACCATGTGGTTACCATGGTACCAGGGATTTGTTTAGCCTGGGGCTAACATACCTGTTCCCCACTACTTTACTATAGCCATCTGGCCTTGCCCCGTCACAATATATACTAACTAGCACATACAACATCAGAAGAGAAGGGGGGGGGGATTTGATAGCTGCCTTCAACTACCTGAAGGGGGGTTTCAAAGAGGATGCAGCTCGGCTGTTCTCAGCGAGAAGTTGCAGTGGGGGGGGCGGTCCTAGGTTGGATATTAGGAAAAATTATTTCACTAGGAGGGTGGTGAAGCACTGGAATGGTTTTCCTAGGGAGGTGGTGGAATCTCCATCGTTAGAGGTTTTTAAGGCCCAGCTTGACAAAGCCCTGGCTGGGATGATTTAGTTGGGGTTGGTCCTGCTTTGAGCAGGGGGTTGTGTAGGAGCAGGATTTTATAATTTTACTATAAGAATAGAGTTACTAATGTATGTCTTGATTTCATTTTACCAGCTACCCTTTTTGAATAGCAGAAAGGAATGACCCTCTGGGACATTGGTAGGAATGCATCTGACAGACTGCCAGTGTCTGTACTGATGTTAAGGCAGGGACAGACCAGAACAATCCTTAAAACTGATTATGGTCACCCTTTTGTTTTAGGATAAGTTATAATGTCTACTATGGTTTCCTATATGTATTACAAATTAGGCACTCTAGTTAAATATACATTTCTTTGTTTTAAGGTTTAGTAAGTAAGAGACAGGATCTTGTATTGTATCATGAAAAGATAAGGTGTGAAGGCCATTGTTATAGCCAGATGGTCAAGGACGAAGGAGTGAAGAGACTTAATGACACCAGAGAATCATCAACGCGCATCCATAATGAAGGAAGGGCAGATTGATGACCCTGAGGTGAAGGCTGGCACCCCTAAAGACAGGACAGTTAATTAAATCGGAACCAGGACAGGGTGACCCTCTCGGAGGTGTACTGAAATGTTTACATCAAGAGATACACCAATTAAGAAGTAACTGGTCACAAACTGACACAGCAAAATCCATAGACTTCAACAGAGAAAAAAGACTATAAGAACAGGATGTTTGGCCATGGGACTTTGCGTTCGTCTTGCTACACTCCAGGAGCATCGGATCGCGACAGACAGAGCCCTGCTCCCCTCTGCAACCAATCTGGCTGGCCATTAGATTGATCCAGACTCTGGACTAGTAACTATAAACATTGACTGACAGGACTGTGTGCATGGTGTGCGTGGATGTGTGTGATTGAAAAGCATATGCTAACTGTTGTATTCTCAATAAATGTGGCGTGCTGCCTTCTCCTCTGTAAAGATCCTGTGTGCTTCTTATAAGTATAACAGTTGGACTAGATGACCTCCTGAGGTCTCTTCCAACCCTAATCTTCTATGGGTCTATGATCTGTTTTTGTTCTTTTTTTTTGCAAAGTATTTTGATGGTTCTGCATTTGCACTATAATATGTGTTTTATACAGGCTGCCAAATTTTAATGCACAGATTTTAATTGGACATTAGGTCATAATGGATCTTAATATGTCAGTGGTTCATGGATTATGGCAAATTCACACATTTCTCATTGTCTCAGTGGGCTGAGGAGGCAACAGTATTTACACTGCTAATAATCTACTTGTTAAGGGTTCCAAGTAGTAATAAGCACTGATGCTATGCAACACTGTTGGTCTCTGAGAAATACACTGTCAATTACGTGTGGATTAAAGACCAATATAATTTTAAGAGATCCCTTATGACCTTCCTCATACAAAAACTCCATGACACATTTGTTTCTGGATTGTTGGGTTTTTTAAAAAAGGAAAATCGAACTTCAGTAACAGCCTGACTTCCAACGAATTACCTTACAATCATTAGTGTAGACTTTTCTCTTTGTCCATACTGCAGACCTCAGGTTGTGTGCCTAGATATTTCAGGGAGCAGCGTGTGCCAGAAATGATTATCTGTTGCAAAGAGTCTTAAGAATGGAGAGAGACTCCTTTCTCTCTAAATGTCCTGGTTACTTGTGGGTTTAATACAGCTTCCCCATTGTTACTTGTACGTATATGTATGTGTTTAATGCAGTGTATATGTAAAGAGGATGATTCTTCATGTCAACACAGCAAGGATTATTTAGAAACACTCTCTCAACATATGTAACCATTAAACTATCGGCAACTGACATCTTTGAGTCATCTTGTTCTGAACTGATATAGCCAGAATAAATTTCTCTTTAGCAGTACAGATGGAGACTAGGAAACCAAGCAGATGCATTGTAGCTAATCAGACAGAGGCTCAGCAGGGTAACTAAAATCTCTACTAGCATTCATATCCCTTCATGGAGTTTAATTAAAGAGCTTTGTGTGCATCCTTTTGTTTTATCTGTTGCCAGTGATTTGTCTCCTATTGTGACTGTTCTTTCAAATAACCATCAATTTGCTGTGATAATCTAATGAGGAGAATGAACAGTGCTGTTTAATTATATAAAAATGATAATGAGCTTTGACTGCGGAAGAGTTAAGGAGCTGCTGCTGGCCATTGGAATACAAAAGAGTCAGCGCCAAAGAGGCCCTGGAATTCTGGGGCACTTTAAGCTTCATTGCTGCACACCATTAAATGGCTTGTGCAAGTAGCAGGCCAGCTGAATTTCCTTTAGGGAGCGAGAACTGAATTATTGAGCAGCCTGTTAACAGCAGGAAAACAGAACAGGCATAGGCAGATTTCTGTTTCACACCCCTGAAATAAATACAAAGCAGCAAGAAGAAAATCTCTTGTCCTAGCAAAGGCGCATGTTGAATAAACACGATGCGTCCGGCAGATTATTCCACTGCTGAACGTCATGGCAGAAAAGGCACTTTGGGTGTAGCCAGATGTCATCTGATGCCATTTTTATGGAGGAAGTAGCAGGAGCAGAGCTCTGGGGGGAACCTGCTGTGGAAATACAAACCAAACTGTGCTAAAGCTCAGAAGCCAGGTAATGTGCTGAGTCCAAATACAGTGGGTGATTGCACCAAGTTAATCAACTGAAAAGGGTAAAAACTTTCACTTTTCCAACTTCTACTCCTTTATTGACGAGAAGTGTCTCAAAGCATTCTTTATATTCTTTACATTTCACACTCAAACTATTTGGTCATTTGATTTTTTTCTTTGCTATTTCTATAGCAAGGATCATATTGAAGTAAAGCTTGAAAACAAAAGCAATACTAGAGAGCAGGAGGAGAAATTGCAATCTGGACTGTTCCTTTAAGCAGAGAGGAAGAGGGGAATGCATGTCCCTGAATTCAGTGTAATGGTGACATCACTGTGTTGCTTGGCAATAATATGTTCTAATCCCTAGGATGTCTGTTAATGCAGCAAGACATGGCAAGGCCTGCATCTCTATTCCCTATGCATATCACAACCACACTTTGGCTGAAGCAAGAGGCATGGGGGGAAACAAAGTATCCCAGAGTAAGAAAACCTAAAGAGAGAGATTACAAGAAGTGAGGTTTAGAAACATTGCCATCCTAGTACTTTGCGCACATTTGGAGATTTTTTTCACTCACTGTAATGACTAGCATTGTGGAAAATGTAGAGGCTTAATTTTGCAAAGGTTCAGGAAAATATTGTGTTCTCTTCTGATCAATGTCGGTTCATCATTCCCTATGTCCCTTGAGTTTTGAGTGTCACATTCAGCTGAATCTCAAAGCAAATTCTGGTTTCACATTGAAACTGCTTAAAGTTTAAGTGTGCTTGGTTTTGACACAAAACACAAAAATGTTAACCTAGTCTGTGTGTCAAGTTTGTAATGAAACCCTAAATCAGCTGAGTTTTATATGGTTTTCTTATGTACATTTTACACAGCTTTAATATAACCCTTTGAAAGTGAAACGTTTCCTTCTGGAAATTTTTTTCTCTCCATTGCATGTGCATACTCATTTGTGGCTGTGTAAGATTGGCTGTCAGGAGATAAAATTCTTCAAGCCAGCAAAGAATCAGTTTGAGGCTTTGATCATGGAGGAACAACTTGTAGTGCTTACACCCCTGCAAGCGGCCTTTGACACTGCAGTCACGGCATCCAGATCCGTCAGTTGCCTTGAGGGGATCCATTTGGCTTCAAACCTCATGAATCCCTAAAAAGGTTACAGTTGCAGGTCTTCCATTTGGACAATGCAAACTTTTTAATATAAAGATCGATGAGGCTTTACATTCCCTAAAGGATTTTTAAGCGCCTCAGAGGTTTTTAGGAGTCTGCACTCCTGCACCAGAAAGAAACCATTTTAGACCTCCACTGCAGCCACATTCCACACAGAATAGACAGCCTGAACTACCCAGAAAACACCCAAAATTTCAAACCATCTGCCTCCACTACGATATCCTCTAACCCAGTGGTTCTCAAAGCCGGTCCGCTGCTTGTTCAGGGAAAGCCCCTGGTGGGCTGGACCGGTTTGTTTACCTGCCGCGTCCGCAGGTTCGGCCGATCGCGGCTCCCACTGGCCACGGTTCGCCACTCCAGGCAATGGGGGCTGTGGGAAGCGGCACAGGCCAAGGGAAATGCTGGCCGCCCTTCCCACAGCCCCCATTGGCCTGGAGCAGCGAACCGCGGCCAGTGGGAGCTGCGATCAGCCGAACGTGCGGACACGGCAGGTAAACAAACCAGTCCGGCCCACCAAGGGGTTTCCCTGAACAAGCAGCGGACAGGCTTTGAGAACCACTGCTCTAACCAGCCCTTATCATCTTCAAGGCACCAAATTTGACTCCTGAGTTCAAAGTGGCATTCAGTCTCCGTTGGACCTCCCTCTTATAGCCCCTCTGGTTGGGACCAGTTGTTATATTTTTGTAGGGTTTGGTACACCACAACTTGCTCCTTCCCTGCTACTACAGAGCTCTGTATAACCTGGATTCTGTGTTGACACAGGTGCGGCCCCAACAGACGCTGCTGGCCAAAAGTCTCCAATGAGTGCATAGGGCTCATGTGCACCAAGAGTGGAATCTGTGGACAGCGCATCTTGAAGAACTACTGTTACTGTTAGGTAAGTAACTGGTTTTTCCATTTTATTTTGCTCCAGCTTCACTTTCGTAACAATTGGGCCATGTTGCCTTTGCATTTATAGTATTTTTATATTGTGATAAAAGCCCAGAGTCTTTAATTTATAGGATGGTAGATGAAAATGAGGTCCTGATGCTGCAATGAAAACCATGCGAGCAGATCCCCATTGACTTCATTATGGTTCCAAATGGTTGCTGGGTGACACTTTTGCAGTTAGTTCTCAGTACAGAATCGGAGCCTTAGTGTGGGGTTGGGGTTGGTTTGGTTTTGGTTGGTTGGTTGGGTTTGTTTTTTTGTCATTCTCTATATCTTACCTTCTCACACTGGGACATCACAAATTTGCTACACTTGGTGGGCTTCAACTGGAAGGGATCCTGACCTAGAAAAGTAGGGGAGGGAGATGAGCAGTTGAGAGGCACTGTCGCTTGGCCTTGAGATGCATTGGCAGGGCTGTGTGTTGGAAATTTGCACAGCATCAGTTTGCACTATGTCTGGCTCTAGCTAGTGTTTATTATCTTATTAATATGTATACTAAATTCACCCAATATTTTTAAAAACATACAATATGTGCAAGATACATGCCAGCAGAAGGGCTGAATGCAGTAGCACCTCGCTGGCTTTAGATGGTTCCTGCACTCTATGTGCACTTATAGCATTTCAGGAAATAAATGCAGTGTATGAAGATAAACTACAAAAGTGGATTTATTTATTTTTCTTCGCTGTTTAAAATCATTCTTACAGCATGGTTAGAAAAAGCTATCAAGTGATGTGATAATGACTTCATTTAATTGCAACTCATTGTCATTCCCACAAGAGCTTTATTCTGCCCCTGCGGAAAGAAGGCCTCACACTGGTGCGGCCAAGCGTCTCTGTAATGCAGTGGCTCTCAATCTTTCCCCATCTGGCAAGGAGGTCGTGGCCCCCTTATACTTTCTGGTAACCCTTTTGGGGGTCTCCCAGACTTCTTGCGGACTTCTGCTATAATGGACCTAATGTCGCCATATTTGACCTTCAGAGATGACTGATTCTTTACAGGCAAAAACCTCTCATAAAAGTGCAATCAGAGAAACTCCCTACTGTAAGGGTAAGGGAAAGGGAAAGGAATCCTTCCTTCAGCCTGCAATGTGGAATGGGAACTATCTGCACTGAGCCAACCTATCTGTGGTCTTAGCCGGCCTCCTGCCTGGGGAAGGAGCAGCCCCACCTCCGCCACTCTTAACACCCAAGCAAGACTTTCCCATGTCCTGGCTCCCCTTAACCTGCACAGCAAAACCAGATTAGACCTGCTCTCAGAGGGCCTTAAGCATTTCCAGAGGGGAAGAGGGAATTCTGAACCAATAATCAATTTATTTTTGCATGCCATAGAACAAACCCAGGAATGGTTATAATATGTATACTATACAGGAAGGGAAGAAATCTTTCCCTAATTGAATTTTATTTGTTTATACATCAACAATCATACATCTACATAATACATTTGTTTATACATCAACAGTCATACATAGCTAAATCTCTATTTCCAGGTTGATGTTGGGTTTTTTATTCCTTAAAAACAGAAGAAAAACCCAGAGCCTGTAATTGGACTTGCCTCTTGGGAGTTTATTTTTCTTTAAATTCAGACTTCTTGGGCTGTTGAAACTTAGTTATAGTAGGGAGGGAAAGAGAAGCCACAGTATTTCAGGCAGAATCTTTTAGAAAACTGTCTAGAAAAAGGAAGATGCTATCTGGGTTCTAATGCATTGTTTTGCATATGAAATGGTTGCTGTCACATTCTGAGTATGTAATTTTGAGGTGTCATTGATTGCTCTGGTGCAGAGTGGTCATTTCTAATCTACATATTATCCTCACCTTCGGCCACCAGAGCCCATCAGCTCTTCACCTACACTATTCAGTTTAAGTGGCTGCATCAGCTGCTTTTTGCATAGCTGTATTTTTGACTTAAATGCTTTTGGTTCAATAAAAGAACTGCAGTCCTTCATTGTGGCTTGAGAAGCTTAAGATGGTTTTACCACTGCAGCCCCACTGAGCTGTTTCCCTGCAACACTGGATTTGGTTCTGTGAACTGAGGTTTTTATTTCTAATTCCTGGAAATAGTTTTAAAGCTGAGTGAACATTTTGAAGAAAAGTTTGGAGGTGTCTTATGTTGTTTGTATCCCAACTTTGTATTCCAAAGCTGCATATTAGCATGTGTGCTCAACTCCTGGTACTCAAGTGATGGGTTTTAGGATTTGTGAAATCAGAATGAAAAGAAACAGAAATAACACGGTAGCTAATTCTATAGTGTGAGAAGATTATTTCCTCTTCTGACTGCATCAGATTTTTATTGCGAGTCTTGTGATATTTGATGTTTTTCCTGAAGCTACAGCTCCAGGAGTCATGTAAATAAGCAAGAATCTCAGCTTTCATTTTTTAAAATAAGTTTCTAGCCATCATGGTTGCAAAAAAAAAAAAATCAAAATGTTTCCTGCTTGTACCTAGAGATTTAAATAAAAAGAACCCAAATGTAATTGTCTTAAAATTTAAAACATTCAAAAAAGCCCCATGATTCTGGGAGACCTGACTGTGATTTTTGAATGCCGTGTACATCAAGTATTAAAATTTCATTCAAATTGGTCCTTGCCATAGGCTTGAGTTCACACAGGATGGCAGGGAAAGGTAGGGAGGTAAGCTAGAAAGGAAACCCACAGAAATGTCTGGCATCTCAAGATGACATCAGTGGTACATCCTTTCTCTGAAATGGTTCTCAGCAGAGTAAATAAATCAATAACCATTCACAGTTACCTTCCAAGATCCAGTTAAAGTTACATTCGGGTGACTTTCAAGATGGTATTATGCTATTCGACCATCGCCCAGTGCAACAACCCAGTATGCTAAAGAATAATAACAGAACTCGAAGGGGTTTGGATCTCACTACACCTGAGCAGCTGCCTCAGAGCATCTTTTCCCATTTTCAGAAATCAAAGGAAATACAGAGGTGTTTTTTAACTTAATGCTGCCCCTTGTGCAGGGTTTTTCACTCCTCCACCTAAGCACACAGGCCTTGATTTTATTTTATGATCCTGTGGTGTTTTGTTCTGGATATTTTCCCCTGTTATTTTATTAGTTTTGCCTTTGTATTTATGATAGTTGTGCCTTATATCATTTTAAATTTGCCTCTGTGGTATCCAAAGTGCTATGGAGAGAGATATTCTAAAATAAAATATATACTGATAAGTTTCTGGTAATTCATTAGCCTATACCTGTTACCTTTTAAACCGCTCAGACAACCCAACAAGTTATGAGGAACCCTTCCTTAAGCCAGCAGTGCAGTCTCCTGCCCCTCAGAACCCAGTGGGAAGAAAAGATGCTGCTTGGTCTTTCTGCCAAAAACTTCCTGTCGAATTCTGTATTGGCCTGTAAATATAACAGATTAAAATTTCTCTTTTTAAAAAATAAATATTGATTCACATACTGTTTGATAGATCTGGACACTGGAGTTTTTCCATAACATTAGACAGTCCTATGGAATTTATCTGTAGTAAACATACTGAAGACACATAGGAAGCAAAAAGGAAATTTTGTGCCATCACCGTGCAGGGGATTTACATGGGTAGTACAGGGTATTAGCTCCCTGGGCATGGAAATTGTTTTATGCTTCACTCTAAGGCAGGTACAGTGCACCCAGCTACCGTGTTGACGGATGCCATATAAATACCTCTAATAAATAAGCTGTAGTTAGCGTTAATGGGAGTTTTAGGTATAATTCTCTCATGTATTTTAATGTATATTAATAAAAAGATTAGAAAGTTTAGTAATTGAGTCACCAGTTACTCAAAAATGCCCTGGAAACACCATCAACGTTCGTAGCAACAATTAGATCGTAGACCTGGGCTTTAAAAACAATGTGATGTAAATGTGTAAATTTCTTTCCTGCTGTACTTAATTTTTTTTAATCCAAAGCTACTGTTAAAAATATCTGTTGGTCTGGCAGGCTTCTGAGCATAGATTCCCAGTACAAGACAACTGTTATGCATCACTTTTATCTGGGATTGCAGACCTGTGCCATATTTTTTCATAGATTTTAAGGACAGAAGAGTCCATTAGGGTTGTATAGTTTGCCTCCTGCAAAACACAGACTACAGAATTTCAACCAGTGATTGTTTCTCTTGGACTAAGTTCCAACAGTGAGTAAATGGAGAGATTTATCATTCCTTTTTGATCCTTCAAGAATTGTACATTGAGGTCCCTGGATGCTGCTCTTAGTTCCAGTGAAGGAATAATAACTTTAAAGGAACTGTTCTATGTTCAGATTTAGTAAAGTATGTCTAAATGGGGTTTGTTTTTGTAAAAGATTTTGGCACTACTATAGAGATGACCTAAGATTTAAAAGGATACAAAGACTCTTCTGAAAAATGACAAGCATTGTTTGAGGTAGTGTCGTCCTCCCATGCAACTGGAATTCATCGTACTCTGTGGGACTTGCATTAAAGCAGGTAGGGAAGGGGTTAAAAATCTGCAGTGGGTAAAGTAGGTAGAAAGGACATGTCTTATCCCGGAGAAACTGTATACAGTGCCATTTAGGAGGGAGAGTTCCCAGATGGTGCTGATTAAGACAAAGCAGGCAGAAATAGGTGGTCCTCAATAAGGGAGAAGAAATTTTCTCACCTGATAGAGTAAAAGGTTGGGAGTCTCCTGGGACAAAGAACCATATCAGAGATACTGAGGAAAAACTGTGTAGCTGACCACTTTGTTACCCACTGAATTTATGCTAGGTTGAAGCCATGAGTCAAAGACTGTGTTTTATCCTTGTGTTTTTGGGGGGTTGCAGGAGGGTGTCCTTCTTGAAAGCGCCATCTTGATTTCTTTACTAGGCTTATCTGAAGGAAACCCATTCTGTTGACATTTATTTAGACTAAGGGTTAGGAAAAAACCCAGATAGGGCTCTGTGGTGGACCTTTAATTCTTTCATTAACATTTAAACTGATAAACTAAACAGTAATAAGT